CCCCATATTATAATAAAATATCTCTACTAGAAATAATATAATATTATTTCTGTATATCTCCATACTCAGCTTGAAAGTAAACGCGTTTATATAAAATAATTTATAAATTATTATAAAGGGCCACCTAGGTGGGTTTATCTATTAAAAATAATTTTTTATAAATTCTATTAAATAGTTTATTTTTAAAATTATATTTTAAATAAAAAATTATAAAAAATTAGATTTAAATCTCTGCCCGAAGACTCCTGCGTGTATAAAATAAATAATATATAACTAATAATTTATATTAATAATTCTATTATTATAGAATTAGAAGAGGAAGATCTAATCTTAATTAAGAATTATTTTAATAAAATATTTAATTTTAAAAAATTAAGCAAACCGAAGATTCTGTTAGAATGTAATATTATATATAATTATAAAGCAGGCACCATTTCACTATTTTAATTTATATATATAAAAAAATATCTAACTGCTATTAATTTATAAACTTATTTTAGTATTATTATTTTAATAATCTCTATCTACAAAAAGACGGATTATATAATAATAATAATTAATAATATTAATATTAATAAATACCAAAGTTTTATTAGTAGATTAAATTAATTAAGTATAAAATTATATTCTAATTTTTATTATATTATTTTTCACCTGTAGAAAAGAATGCACGATTCTACTATTACTAATATTAAAATATTAAAAATTATATATAAATATTTTTATAATATTATTTCTTATAGGATTATCTTAGCCACTGATTATTTTAAAGAAATTGAGATTTATGTGAATACCGTGCATACTAATTACTAGTAAGAATGTACCTTTAGGTGCCGGGGTCGCCAAATACGGCCATCCTGGTCGCCATTTTCGGACACCCTGGCCCCGGAAGCTAAACCTGAAATGGAAACCAATGGGCGCTGTTTTAAAGGGCCAAACTTACACGGGCAGCGACGTAACGGCGATACGGCCAAGCCGGGATCCACCACCGGGGTCTCAGCAGCCCTCAGCAGCCCTCAGCGGCTGTACTGCTGAGATAGCTCAGCGAAGGTTCGCTGAGACTCCGTCGCTCGGGGATGTTCGCGGGACCGAGGGTGGCGAGCAGGCCTCCTTTGGCAAGGAGTAACCGCCCCAAACGCGCATAAATAGCCATAGCCGTCTCCCTTCTTCCAGCGACATCATCCATTCTCCTCTTTACCTTTTCCTGTTGCCATCAGGCGGTTCTCATGCGCAATGACATATTCGGGCCTCCCTCGGAGGAAACATGCTCCAGGAGATGACAACTCCGGCCGCAAGTCCTACCTGTACTATGCGCAGCGGCGAAAGCTGCACCTGGAAAGCGGGCCAACGCTACCGAAATACTCGCCAAATACCAATGTTTCTGCGGCATCAGTGAGAGGGAAATGGGTGAGGTATCGTTCGGTTAACTGAATCTCTGATTTTATCACGGTATTACTTACTCTTGTTGTCGATAGATTCTGCACCGAGGCATGCCTGGACCCGGACGATCTCCTAAAAAACATGACTTCAGCAGACGTCAAATCCTGGTTCGACTGGATCGAAAAGAACTTCAAAGGGTCTATCAAAGCCCACAGCGCGCTTGCCAACTACTGGAGAACTTTGAAGAGGCTATACTCTTTGAAAAACTGCCGGGAGATGGATGCAGATATGAAGAGAGATTGCCTCAACGTAGGTGATGGTCTCCAAGTACCTATTCATGAGATCTATCTAATGGCAAGCCCTAGTATATGAATGTTGTCAGTTCGAGAATGGCTTTGCGTAAGCACCCACTGCCAAAGCCGACGGGCCAGTCGGAGGATCTTTTGCAGTATCTTGTGTCCCATCTTGTGGATTGTGATTCGGTGTTCGCGGACGAAAAGCAGCGTCTCTACGCCCTCTCGGGGCTCAATCTGTCCTGTATCTCTGCCAGTCGAGCTGTATCTTTTTTTGACACGAGACACCGCCTTCAATTTCAGGCGGACGGCACTTTGGTACCACCTATAGACACGTCAGCTAAGGTTAGAACGCCTTTGTCTTCCATCGAGGAGCCCCTGTGTGATCCAAGCACCAAAATCAACTTGCAAAACGACGATCATGCGGAAGGAGGCTCGACATCCGAGACGAGCTCGTATTCTGACTCGGAAGTGGATACGGCGAGCGACAGCGATCACCAGTCGGACTGTTCCAGTGTCACAGATGACGGGTACCTTAACGGGAATGAGGAGACGGGCACTATTCTTTAGCGGCACGTGGAGTTCTACATTGTTCGTAACCCAGTGCCTGGACGTCGCCATATCTTAGCCGCCATTGTGTCCATCCTGCATACTAAAGGGGAAGGAAGGAAGTTTCGGCTGTAAGTCATCGAGCCACGTGATAATGAGGTGGTGCCACGTACTTACTTAATCACTAGGAAGAGATACGTTATCAAGCACGAGGATAATTTGATATTCGATGTGCTATCACAGCTTCTAGCGCTGGCAATACATGATGATATCTTCGAGGCTACTATTCAAGATGTGTCCCATATATACACAGTACCAATTCCTGATCATCGAAAGGGCATCCAACTGAAAATAAAGAGAGAAAAGCTGAATATATCAGTCTTCCGTGAGCCTGAACGTACTCCCCAGGACTACAGGACATCTGATTCATGCCCTCTGAAGTCCAAGACCTGGAGCCGATATGTCAAACGGATTGGAGTGCGAAGTGGCCAGGAACATAACCTTACACAGAAGGTGTTCCGGCGCGGTGCAATTAATGCCATTAATAGTAAGACCACTTTTAGTACTGCTCATTCTTTATGGCTTACATGAACATCGACTTAGACAGCGCTCCATCCTCGATCCGTGATCAAGTCGCGGATCACGAATCTAATGCCGTGAAATACTACCTCAATGAGATAGTCGATTTTGATACAGCGGCAGCGTTTCACAAACGCCCATCGAACAAGGTCGTTCAACGTGAGCTGAGATCAGCGACCTTGCTGGCAGATAAAACCGCACCTATTGGATTGACGGCTACCCAGGCTAAAAAAATCACTACAGACCCAGAGGTCCGTCGTCTTCGAAGAGTCTGTCGCGCATTGACTGCGGAAATTCGCAGCCAGGGCTATAAACGTGTGAAGAATACCGCAGGCACCGAGATTGGTGAGCGGAAGAAACGTGCAGATGCCGAGCTCAACAGTACACTTACGAGACTCCGAGAGGAGGAGAAGAAGAGGAATCACTGAAGACACTTTAGAAAGACAGACACGGCTATTTTTAACCAACAATACGAGCTCGATCGGACCTCTCCTGAGGCTAAACTACAGTCTCATATGGCCCGGACCTACCAAATCCTCGAGCGCAAGGAGCTCGTTGATCTGCTCTGCTATTCAACTCCTACCAAAACAGACGAAGAAGCTCATCTTCGACGGTTAAGATACATCCGCCTTATGATCCGATGGCAAGACCGGAAGGAGAGCCCTCGGCGGGGTAAGCAGTCAGTGACCATACCAAAGCCCCAGGCAGCGAATCCTTCATCTGCCTGTGTCGTCGAAAATTTCAACCCACTGCAATGTCCATTCTGCCTTTCGGACACGCGCCTCTCACCTGCTGACCGCACGAAGCGAAAGAGCAAAACAAACAAGCTCTGGGACCACGTGGAAAGGATTCATGAGCAAGAGCTTGCAGCATTTGACTCAGGATTTCGCAAATGCGGACTATGTAGGCTGAAGAATATTGACTTTGTGCCATCTAGCGTGTCCAATTTCAAGAACCACACCCACACCGTCCATGGAATCAGACTTAGACCCTAGTTTGATTCGCTCAAATAGATGAATTTGACTTCGTGAAACTTGCACAGACTTTAGCAATTTAAGAATAAAGCTCTTGACCACAACATGGCAGTATACTATTGATGCGATAGATGACGTTGAGAAGGAGACTTTCATCGCTTCTTGTGAGTTTGGTTACAAGAGGAGTTATACTACGCCCTACCAGAAAGGTAACGGAATTAACAATCACTCTGGTATAGATGGTGAGTAGACCGGAACGTGCCACAAGAAAATTAGGTAAGCTTCAACTTAAATGGAGCGTGACTAATTGAGAGATATCCGCAACACAAAACTAGGGACCTGGATCAGAGCCGGAACCGGAGCCGGACCTGGAAGCATTAGAACCAGAACCAGAGAGCCGCAACACCCTCTATAAGTAGGATCAATCTACCGAAAAAGCACAGAGAAAGAAGTATAGTTCGTCTATCCTATTCCACTGGAGATTGAATTAGGGAATTTATTCTATATTCGAACTCCTTATGAACCGCGGTGGAGTCAATTCAGAGGTCTTCCTTTTGCCGGAGATAAGACTACAACTTCCCCTAATCCGAACCTTCTTGCGCACGCAAGATTAACCTTTTTGTGACACGATATCTTGTTGACACATTTAGAGAACAGTATTTGAAGTCACATCATCGTGACCTTTCCGATTTTCCCCTCAACGGGCAACACATCATTTTCCGCCACAGAGAATGGACTTCCTTGACTGCTATTTAATTAATTCTCATCTCGCCCTTGTGCACGAGGGCATCAGCTGCAATTGAGCAGCTTGCCATGATACTCCCAGGTTTGCTGAAATGACTGCGTTCCTCGCCCATGCGGTGAAGTTGCATTTATACAATGTCAATATAGAACTCCATCATCTTCTCGAAAGGTGCTGGCTGGCTTCCTACGATAGTCTATTCCGTGAGAGCCTGGAGAATAAACTGAGACCAAGAAGCCAGAACAGCAGCGAGATTCCCGCCTACTCTGTCGGTTCATCGACTCACGCCAGCTGAAAATTTGCAATGCTACTGCCACCGCCACGTCGCGAGTCCTCCGCTGCGTCGGGCTAAGAGAAGTAGATCATGATATGCAGAGGCTTCCCAAAACAGCGGCCGTCCTGCTCACTGTATTATATATTGGGATTCTCGTCTGCATTTTTTGGATGTTTGTTTCCCCTTAATTCTGAGTTATAGTCTATCTCTTACTACATATGCTGTATTGAGCTCCAGAAGAGACATTCCTAATATACAGCGGTGTTGGTGGTGAATTCATACTGGCCCCTCGCCTTGGCGAGACCGCTACCCAATTCTTATATACGTCTTACGGTACACCATTGATTTTCGGCAGATTTGGAGCCTCATCGAGGCCTTTGGTGGTACATGTCTGATGTTCTATTCCGCGGCCTTACGGCCCGCGGCTCAGCGATCTTGGAGTCCAGATTGAAGGGCTCCTTGCTAGTGCCCTTAGCAATCATATTTTACTACAGAACACTCATACGACGATTACCTTGGGCCTAGAATGGCCAATCAGGTCGGGCAGTACCGTTGCCTGCTTCTAGTGCCAGCTGCTTGGAGACGCTTTCTGGAAGCAATGCAGTCCATAGAGATTCAACCGTCATAGGTAGTCACATGTGCCTAAACGAATATTTATTACGCTCTTAAATTCTCCCCAGCAACATAGAAAGATGACGCTTCTTGGAAGACATATTCTCGGCTTCTGCTCGACCCGTGGCTCTAGAGACCAAGAATAAAAGCCGCTGGTTCTTGTTAAGTCAGCCTTTAGATACAAGCCTCTGCTCCTCATGCTCAGAGATCAAGGTTATGGCATTGCTGCTGTCAACAGTGACTGCGCAATAACACTGTGCGCGGCTGATGCTTTCAAGGCCTTTTCCTTTCCTTTTCTTTTTTTTTTGAATAGATTTTATTCAAAGGGCGAGTATTTCTTTCATGAAACCTTCCGTGCGACTCTTTCTACTGGTGAAGAATCGGCAGGATTCAATTAAAAATGGACTGATTGTTTCCCCTCTCGCTCAAAAGCTAAAAGAAAATCATCTCGATGTAACCTGGTGATACTGGTGCCTACTGGCCCGGCTATCAGATTTTGGAAAAGATTATGAATACGGGGGCGACTAGAGTTGTCCTAGATGGCTGCCAATGCGAATTAGAGGCATGTCTCCATGAGACCCGGCGGGTTTGCGTTCTATTCCTTTATCCAGTTGCTCCTGTTCTTCCTCGGCCCTCATCAGCTATCTAGGTACGCATCCAATGCCTGTTGTCTGTAAGAGATGTAAATACTACTTCTGGTATAGTGAACCATGCCTGCTATGCACGACCCATTCACACCTGAATTCCAGGCTCATTGTTTTGTTGCTGGGGGTTGGGTGTTGATAGGTGTTTCAGTGCCTGCTCAGTGGAGTATGTTCGCTGGGAATGCTCGTGCAGCGACTAAAAGTATCTGCTTCTTCTGGGAAACCAGGGACATGCATGAATCGCGGTATAAAGTGCCATCCGCGTAGCAATATCACAGATTGAAGGATAAGGGCACGTACTCCTCCGGGAATTTACGGGACGAAGCCCTGCCCTGCGTCACGGAAGATCATGGCACATGACTGTGCTCTGCCGCACAGACTGAGCGCTCAGTGACTAATCTGATTTGATCACTGGGTAGGACTGAGTCAAGGGTGAGTAGTCTGAGAGGCACAGTGAAATGTTATGTTAGGGCTCTGATACATAGTATTCTTAATATTAATTGACCCTCATTCTCACCACCCGGGCAAATGCGGTCAGTCTGGACCAGCTCAAAGTGGATAAAAATAGAATCCCGTCGTCAGCCTACAAGAGCGAGTATCACTCATTCATATGCTACAACTAGCATGGGGGCAGAGATACAACACTGGTGGTTAATACATGACCCAGTTGTTGATGGTGGACTACCATATCCCTCAGAACCACACATGGGATCTCCAGCCCATTGAAGCAAGCACTGGTCATACTGTGGGAATCTTTCCTATCAGATGCTGGACACTATTCTCACTCTTTTCTTCTACTGCCTTCAACAAGACACCAAATTCCCATGCTGCAAATACTATTCGGAGCATTCTCTGTCTTGCACATAGTACTAGAGGCCTTGCTCAAGCTAGGCAATATTAATTAATCATACAAACCTGTTATCGTTGCGTGCTTCGTTCTAACCTCTAAATCCTATATTACAAATCCCTTGTCCCGACAGGGTATTCTCAACCATAATATCTGATGTTTCTAAGAGATAGTCCCTACATGATGCACCGGTCAATTCTGATAGCGGTTTGGCCAGCCAGTACACTGGCCAACTCACAACGGATCCCAACCCCGCAGGTACAAAATACCCGGTCGGACGATACCCAGACCCACCCGATTGGTTAGGACAGATTCCATGGTGTTGACACCGACAAGATTATTTGCTGCGCAATTGGGATGGTCCATTACAACCGAGTCCAAGTAGTCACCAGCAAGATCAGTTCATGCAGATAAATACTACAAATTCGCGGAGGACGCGGGTTAAACATACAAGAGAGAATTAATCTCACCAGATCATACCTAATGGAATTCTAGGAGCAGGAATCAGGAGTTTGACCTGGTGAACTGCCCTTATACGCCATAGACTATATCAACCGGTTACTAACCGTCTCGACCGGTTGTTGAACCTCAGGTGGGGATTTTGCCCAAGTAAACCGCCTAAAGTACATCAATTTTGCCCCGCAACAGTTTTAAGGTGTGCTAATATACATAGGCCGCTTATTGCGGAGGACACTCTCTTTGTTAATTAAACATTTATCTATGATTGACCTGTATTCTGCCCACAACTTGTGTCGGGAAAATTAACGACTTGCATTCCATACCGAACTGAAAGGCCCGCTTACTCTGTGCATATGTACGTGATGTTGTTCAATGTCTTGCTCCATACGATACCATAAATAGGGAAAGTATCTGTTCAAAGCCATTCCGGTTTTATTAGAAACTGTTGTGATATAAAGCTGTTGCCGCGGAGGAACGATACCGCAAAGCGGAAATAATTCTCATCTATGCGAGTTGACTTCCAATCAATTTAGACTTCATGCTATATATATATCTTCTTTGCATCCCTTCGAAATAAGAAGAATCAAGCTTCCTATTCACATTACAACAGAATCGCCTCAACCCCAACGTACAAATGCGGTGCCCCAGATACTCTATGCGGTACTCTCGTATATGCCATCACCGATATTCTCCTGTCACAATAATTCTGTTTCTCTCTTATATTTGTCTCGCTATTGCCTTCCAGCCCTTACATCCTAATATCTCGGTACAGTGACGATGCCCCTTTCCCTACTAGCGGGAACTTTACTGTTGGCACTGACTAATAATATCAGAGTCGTGATGCTAAAAGACTTGTGAAGGACGGATATCTCCAAGACCTAAGTATGTTGTGTAAGAGGTATCATTAGTTACTGCCAGCTGATCTGCCGCGTAGGAACTGCAACAGAATGAGTGTTGTCAGCGGCTATTAATACTACTACCACTCTTACTTTCACGGACATCGTGTGTCCAGGTATAAAAATACCAACTCCAGAAGTATTGAACGCGAGCGTCTATTATTTATTATATTCCCAGGAGCGGCCACCCGTGGTAATAACTGTTGGTAAACCCAGTCATTGTCCCATATTAGTCAAGAGCTAATCGGCTATATATATCAGGAGCATGAGATTGTTTCATCCCTACCAGCTGCTGACCTGGCTAATAATATCATTTTAGCAAGTTACTGCATGGGCCTGGTAGGCAGATGTAACAGATATATACTGGACTCATGTGCTAATACTTACATAGAGGTTGCTTTATTTACTGGCTAATAAGACTCTGCTGAGAGCCATCATAGAAGGGACAGATTCTCAGCCAATTAAACCAGCGGCTATATTTACAGTGTCCAGTGCACTTGGAAGGTTAGTATTAACTACAAAGCTACTGAACTCAGTTGTCTCTATTTCATTACTCAGTGGGCATGCTACATCCGCGTCTTCTCAAACGGCCCGGGATCCTAAGGCTTCAACTGCTTTGGACATGCTGGCTACTGTAGCAGAGGCAAATGCTCACTCAACAGAAACCCCTGATAAGAAGGCAGGGAAGGCTGCTACCCCATCCACAACATTCCATATTACATCATCCACCACTACCAACGACATCGGTGCCACACCGAAGACAACCTCTTCTCCAACCCAGACAGCTACTACAGAGAACGTCGGTTGGGGCAGCATGATTGAATCTAACTTCAAGACTACGATCTATTATTCTTTCACTGAGCAGTGTGGTCATCCAGATATTTCCTCGCCCTCTCTCCAATCGGCCTGCGAGGCTCTTGTTAAAGATGGGTATATGGGGTCGTTTCCTCTAGCATGGTGACTCTAGCTAAACTTAATTCAAGGTGCGCCAACCCATATGTTAGGAGCGACTTTCTTGGCGGAGTGGAATTCACTGCCAATAACAAATCAGCCTCCTGTATGGATTCAGCACCTTTGACAGTCGAGGGCTGCCAGGAAGGGCTCAGACGTGCAGCAAGCTATGTTGACAGCCAAATAGCATTGAAAGGTGACCGGGCGTGTGGAGGCTTCGTAAATATAGTAAATGTGAATGGCGACGAGATGGGGGCTATTATAGTAAGCAGCACATGCATATTTGATTATTCTAATATAATTATTCCAGCATAATGGTGCCCACGGGATTATAGAGGATTAGAGAAGTCTGCAGTAGCTTTCCTCCTGAATGTTTAGTATTAATTATTCTAAACTCTATAAAATATTTTTAGTGATGGATGAATCAGGCTCTAGTTAGATTATTATTATAGATAAAGTAATTCTTGGTACTGTTTTTTCTTATAACTGTAATTGTCTGATATATTTTTTAAATCTGATATTCTAGCCAGGGTTACCTCGCGATGCTATTATATGCTGCTAAGAAAAAGTACAGAGCTTTGAAGATGATGATAAAATATTTTATTATAGAAGATGGATTTAGAGTATGAGCTTGAAGAGTGTGTCGGAACCGGACTATTCGGTGACATGCAATGTATAGGAAGGGGATGGAAGATTATAGTAGAAAATATTATCATAGTTATTGGCTTGATAATTATACCGGCTTTAGTATGCTTTTATCTGCCTGCTGTAGTGGTAATAATTCTATTATGGTGCTATTTGTCTGTATTCTCAGCTGTTGCCCCGGGCCTGCAATCTATCTTGCTATTCTAACCAGGCACATCAAGCTATCTGTTGAGATATGAGGCCCACCGCAGCATGTTCCTCAATGGGCTATTAGGACTTGCATTCCACAATTCACGCAGATTAGTAAGATAGTGTTATAATTCAATGATAAGCAGCAGACTTTGGCAGGTTAAATAGAATTATATCTTTTAATTAATCAGCTAGGGAGTATATTTGTCTCTGGGCTAATTAAATCATTCATATTATAGGTGCTTCAAGAGATTATTATAGTACTTTTGGAACTGTTTTTACGGTAATACAGATCTTATTCACGTGGAAATATATCTAATATAAGTAAATGTATTGCAAGATTTGCTTTATGCTATATGTGCTTCTGTAGAGCCTGCTTCTGAATCATCAGAAAACTGGGATAATTCTGGATATTGCATGTGAGGTGAAGGTAGCTGTGTATAATGGTTTCTGCTTGCGGCCGATGCGTGGTTAATCCAAATCACGCCTGTACGTCATCTGCGAATCCATAGGTAAATAGGCCGGTGCAGGACAAAGATTAATATGAATATCATAGTGTCTTTAATTGCAGTGCTGACCGACATGCCCAAGCTTCGGCGCGGTATAGTCCGTGCGCGGCGAAGACTATCAATCGCCGAGCCGCTGTAAAGGGATGTTGTTGTTGCCGTATTCGTAGATGTTGGCGTCCTACTTACTTTGTTCGAAACATCCAGGGTTATTGATGCTGTTAGATGGTCCATGAATCCTGCTTCACTCTACCTGGTTACTGATGTTATTGGACTGAAATTGAACGTCGTACTGGGCTGCGTATTATCAGAGCCCATGAGTCTGTAATCATCTCTACCGGGAGATGGAGTACTAATTATATAATGAGGAACTGTCAGATAGACCGTCCAAATGATTAGAATTAGTAAGGTTAATGTGATTGTCTTTCTCCTTGTTTGTTTCCACTGGTTGTTCGCCGCTGTGATATAGCAGCACCCTGGTCGATGATAAGGAGATATCCAACGGCTTCGTATTAACCGGCCAAATGAGGAGAGGTTGTGGGTAACTGATTAGTATTACTTTCAAAGTCTCAGACACCGTTGCATGTGAATGTGTCTGATGTTGTATAATGGTTCATGCGTAAACCATGTGCTGGTAGACTGGGCAGGGCTATCCCATCCGAGAGGGTTAAGTTGTACGGTTGCCGTTCCCGCGGTATCTTGATTGATGCCATCCACCATTCTTGGATCACCATCCGACAGGCTATGATGGGAGACCGCAATGTTGATTCCTTGAATGTCGAAGTAACATATTAGGCAGGAAGACCCGTAGGTCCAAAAGCCCACTGAGAAAGCAGGAGGAAATCTTGGGCTTCCGACCGTCTCCGAGCGGGCTTAGAAAATCAGACCGTGGAGCGTGGCTCGGTGATGTATGGCATCGCCAAGACCCGGCAGGAACCGAGGAAAGTTGACCACCTTCAGTCACCGACGTTGTAGGCATTTATATTGCCAAATGTATTTTTTGACTTTGCGCCAAAGAGTCCATTGCGACTGTTTTCTTTGTCTTCCCCAATACCACTGTCGCAGTGGTTAACGATGTGGACTCCCCCTGGGGATAGCTGACTCAGCAGACGATCGGTCTGGCGGTATTTTTCTTACGTAGCGCGCTCGATCACGTCCAAATAAAAAAAAAGGAGACTGAACATCTTGGCTGTGGTACAAGACAACCTTAAAAGGGGGCAGGTATATGGTCGGCTTAGTACTTGGTTGGTAGTCACAGCCAGTTCAAATGCTGACGACACGGAGCCGCCAAATATGCGCCAAGTTGCATTGGTGTTGTAATAAAGCTTGAAGATGTAGACCATCCAAAGAATAGGGCATGCAGACAATTCACAGCGCCCCTTTTGTGTATTCCCCATGACAACAACGAAGAATGCTGTGGCGTTGCGAGCACTATATTACAGTCGTGAAATCCCAGTCGCGTCACAGACTGAGCTCAGAAATCAATTCAAGGCCAAATTTGATTTCAAGGTCAATATAGCGTTTTCAAGCTTTATCACTGTAGCATTGATGACTGCTAGTAATGGCTAGCCGTTCTCATACCAGAGCCAGCAATCATTTGCACAACAACCTTGATTTACCTTTCGGCACTTGCCTCGCACAGATTTAACGAAGGCCACGGAAAGCCTTCCCCGAGCGGCTTTGCCGGCAGAATACCAATAGGTCACTACTTACGACCTCCATAGTTCAGTCAATCTCTATATAAGGTAGTACTATTTTCCCTGGCCAGCAGTTTCTTGTACTGATTGAGCTTCTTTTCAAGGAGTGGGTACCTATAAGACTACATTTACTGAAGGCTATGTCCCAATTACTGGATGCGCACATCCCTCTAACGGGAACTACGCTCGTCCATTCAGCTACTGTTCGACTACACTATTATGATTCGCAGAAACCTTTCCTACGATAAGGTTCACTTCGATTCCCCTCATATGGATAGTGGAACATTAACAATTCTATTTCGGTCTCATGATGAGAACGACGGACTAGAAATAGCTGATATCGAAACTACACGGAACAAGACAGTGAGGGGGTTGGGTTGGAAGCATCATTTGCATCAGTTCCTACTTTAAGCGACAGAATATCTGAGGTAGTTGCTTTTGCAGGCACTAAACTCCAGCGTTTACTTGGGCGTGAACGGGTTCGGGCTTGCGTACACCGTCCAGGTCTGGAAGGCCGTAAAACCTTCGGAGTATAACGCCTGAGTATTGCCATGTTTTGTGCTTCTTCTGTTGTGCCTCCTACTCCAGCTGCTCCACTCTCCTAATTTCGGAGATCGTAGGTTTGACTTGTTTTCCATGTCGAATATATTTGGCTGAAGAAGATCCATTTCACTATAAAAGCAACCATGCTTCCCCGTACAAACAGCAGCAGCTCTGCCGCATCTTCATATATAACTATTTCCAATTTTCTCAACTCGGTTCTCTCGAACTCCCTTAGATTGTAATAGTATTCGGCAAGCACACGGTAATCGGCAAGGATCTGGTAATCCTCATCTTCTGAGACGTTCCGTGCCCTCTTTGACGGCTCCCAGTTGCTGTTGGGCGATGATTAAAATTTAAACGCAACGGCAAGGTACGGCATGGAGCTTCTGAGCCCCAACTTCCTACTACCAAGATGGGCCTCTATATTCCTGAGTCTGCGTCGAGAGCGGCAAGCAGAGTGATCCTTTCCAGACAATTAGTTTTTGTCTTATGGACGAGGACGTACTGGCCGATATTATGGTGCTCCTTTATATGTCACATTATTAGAGATCCATGGTCTCTAGTTCATATGCATATTTACCGAATACTCCAGATACGACCAATCGGAAGATGATCACGAATCTCCTGCGAGATAGTTGATCGTAATATTGGATCCAGCTTTTCTTTGTCTGCGCGCTCCGGCTTTTCACCCTCAAGAGACACCCAGATCCTGTTTCCTTTCTTTGCACTCGTACGAGGGACAGCATTTTCGGCCGCCGGAACGCATATCTCCAAACGGTCGGTGCGACTCAATCAAGAATTTGACCCTGAGGTCGGTGTTCAAGGCCTTCTTGCTTCTTTACTGTGAGGCAGGACATGGGCATGGTGGTATAGATCCTAGCAGCGTATTGAGAAGAGGAACTGATTCCTTCGTCAGGAAGAAGAGCAGATCCCGGTGTTAACTATACCTCCAGTTTACTACGAAGTACCTCCCAAGGGTGACAATACTTAGATTGCTGGCGCTGAAACGTGCGGCTAGCTAGCCTAGGTCTGGGCAGGTCTGATACATTGCGCCAAACAAAAACCTCCAGGGCCTAATATAAGACTCAGATTCAAAATTAAAAAGTCTCGTAACAACGGGTCAATTAACACCGCCCCAGACTTGGTATGGTAATATCAGCAATGCTCCAGAACCTCAACCAAATGTTGTCCAAGGAAACAGAAGCCAACCATATGGTCATGGCCCCTGGGGATTGTTCAACTCGGCCCCGGTTCGGAAAAAGTAGATGCTTTCCTTGGGGATCTCGGTCCGGCCACGAACACGCTCCGATGCAAAGGGAGAGTATCCCGCTGTCTCTCTTTTAGCCGCTGTGGGCATTCTGAAGAATTGCTGTGACTACAGGGTGATGTTAGAAATGAATTAAAGGAAAGGGAGCTTAGCCTGCATTTTCGATGACAGCGTTGTAATGGTGTAGTGTCGTCTTGGGTGTTGCTAAGCGGAAAGCTCCAGAATGATAAAGGCTGCCCTTATCTCACAGGCTACTTCATTTGAGATAGGTTCGGATAGGTTGATAAGAGATAGCTTTGCAGACATCATACTTGCAGTGATCTGTGCACACAACACGGAGGACGAAGCAAGTCCCCGCGGACAAAGGATCACATGACTTCCATGTTGGGTCTGGTGGCGGCTCCCCACTTCATATCTACCAGCTTAATCGCCCGACCTGGTAGATTGTGTTCGGAAAACATGTTCATGGCTGATCTTGCTTACATATAGCTTTGCTGCGGTCCAGCTGCCGCTACTGCAAAGGAGCGCCTAGATATCCTTTCGAGCAAGCAAGGAAGTATGCGATCAGATTCCTGTGTACCTATCATCGCGCTACCTGTCATGAGAGCAAATTCTGTGATATATATATGAACGTTTGATGTTGACAGCAATAGTGTCTGCGTTAGTTAATTGTGGTGCCGCCCAGGATGGGCTTGTTTAAGTTCCCTAATCCCAGCTCTACAAGCCTATTTGTCTAATCAGACGTCGTTCGCATCAAGACGGACCTGCCAGGAGAACGATTTAGAATTTACACATACTTCCAGAAAGCCCGATTGCATTAACCCCAAGTTACATCAGGGGCCACAAAAGTTCTATAAAGACATCAAATAAACCGTACTTCAGCCATCCAAGCTATGCAAGTGCTCTCAAAGATTTCTCAGGCATCATAGTAGGCGAGAACATTGAATCACATTTACATTAACCTAGGCGAATTTCGCAGAATACCGTGAACCTGTCAGTTGTGCAGAAAGCCCACAACCGCAGAGACTGGGTTGAATTCAGGCAGATGACATTGATTTGACTATAAAAATACTGAATACAGGACGTTTGCTCTCGACAGCGCATGCGGGGTGATATGTCTGTCACACCTACCGTCTCGATTATGTGGCTACCTCGCAGATGCCTGCTGGTCTAAAAGGCCTGGATCGTGTGGACTAACAAGGGATGCTATCACATGAGAGCGGGGCCTGACACGTGGCAGGCCACTAGATGACCAATCTTTGCTGGCCGCACCAGGTTCGAGCCTCGCAGCCTCTTCTTAAAGAACTCCTATGGAGGCTAGATGTCTGACCATACGAGCACCGCTGTTTCCTTGCTCCGCCTTGATACTTGATGTATAACTCTTGCGTTTCTATATCCATTCGACAATGACTTCTATCAGAATAGCGAGTATCTCTCGCATGGATCTCGAGGGCCACGAAGAAACTGCACCATCGATCACAGATGTCAAGCACTTGTCATCCTATAATTGGATGGAGTCTGTGACTCCTACTATTGCCATCCCGGGCTGCCCACCGTTATGGCCTCCACCGAAAGGTACCTGAAACATACCAAAAGATTCTGGGCAAATGTATATAGTCCAAAATGCAGCTCGGCACCCAGAAAGTCCTCTGGAGCCTCTGTTCCGCGTTCTGTACACAACTCATCCTTCGTTCGATATTGGTGCCGTTGATCTCGTAACGATCCGTAATAATATCCGCGTGCTCCTATCCTTTATAAATCCTAGTCTATCAAAATATCGGCTTGAGCCTTTCACCATCGAGTTTGAAATCACAGGCAAGACGGCGGTCTTTTGTCGTGCAGAGACCGAGACCGTTAAAAACATCAGACTTGGAGCCGTTGCGGGCTTTGGTCATGAGTTTGAAAAGGCATACACCCGAAACCAAGTTGACAGAAGTACTGGCCACCATAGGATCATCAATTACTCCTTTGATGGGCTCAGGCTCATCGTTTGCTATGAAACGGAAGCCAACTGACACAGATGTAATGTCAAGGCCGTATTATTCTATCCGGTACGAAGCCTTCGCAAAAGAATCTCTATGCTCTTGACTGAAAGTACTCGATATCGTCTGTTTCGCTATATCGCATCATTCAAAGTTTTTATAAGGCCCCGGCAGATTTATCTCAGCTATGCCCGGGTGGTGATGTGCAGACATGCGAAAAAGAAGTGCTTGGCCCCCTACGAGTTAGAATATCCTACCTACTCTGTATCCCTTTCTATGGAGACTGCGGACGAAACAAGGTACCGGCAGTAACTTCAAATTAAGTTCTTGTAGAGAGTTAAGTACGGTGAGCATTGACTGTGATCGAAGTTTACCGCCCTCGTAGGTCGCAACTACTATGCAGATATTAGAGCGATAACGAATCTCATTAAGTCTCATGTGAAATCGCTCGGGTGATGGCAAACTTTTTGTATGTTTTAACACGTGACAACTCAGGCAGTATAGTATGAAAAAAGATGGAGTCCCCATTGCGTCTCTAGACTCCCTTACTAAATTAGAAAGTTATAGTAACAATCAAATCTACCTATTAGTCCCTGAATTCATTCGAGGAACGGAACGGAAATTCCACATTGACCGTCTGCGACACGACGTTTTCACGAAGAAAGATGTAACTCAACTCCAGGGTCCGCGGATATCGCGGGAGCTGGCATGAGAGGATGCCCCCCCATTGAGGCTCGTCACGAGACTCAAAAACCTTAGACACAGGCCAAATTGAGGATCAGGAGGCTGTGGCGTTATTTCAGTAGAGGAACGTGAGATCAAGGTTCGGGCCGTGGGATTGAATATCCAAGACTTTTTGGAGACTTTTCGGCATTATACCTGGAGACTCAGTGGAACAGACGTGCGCCAGCATGGTTGCTCGTATAAAGGCTGCCTGCATAAACCAGTTTAAGGTCGGGGTTCGAGCTCGTGTGTCGACTGTAGAGGAGGGAATTGGGATCTATGCACGGAGCAAAGTCCGCATCCGCCCGCTTCCTGACAGCGTCAGCTTTACCGATGCCGCCCATGACGGCTTGCACGACTCGAAGAAAACACAACGCCAGGCGTAATGTATCATCCTTTGGATGTAGAAAAGATCAGATTCTTATTATTAGGTGCTTCCAGATAAACTCAGTAAAATAGTAACATGCAAACAAATCCTGCAATTTATGGACAACAAATTCTTAGGTAAAGTCACCGTAGAATCATCTTTGCAGTTTACAAACCTCGGATTTCCTTTTCCAACTGCTGCCGAATCCTTTGCTGTCTCGGTTCCTCGCCAGCAATCTCTTTCAATTGTTCCACGGAAAGCTCACTCACAAGAGAGGGTGAGAACAATTTCATAGGTATGTCAGGGCCGCTTATCAGATGATACCCTGCTGCCTGCATACATATATTGTCCACAAAGCGCTTTCGGGCGACTTTGTAGTACGATTGAAGAATATCGTGGAGGGCTTGAATAGTGTGCTCGAAATTGCTCAAATGTCGCTGGTAGTGCAGGTCTTCCACACGTACCACCCTCCCATGAGAACAGTCGTCGAATGCCTTTCCCTCTATTGCCGAAGCTGCGCGTCTTTGGCGACTGAGAAGAATTAGATCTGATAGGAGAGGGCGGAAGCGACAATAACCTACCATTTCTCGAGTGTATCATTCAAATAATGATTCAGAGTCGTCGGCGTTCCCGTACGCTCCACAAAAAGCAAGAAGTCAACCTTGGCGATCCCTTTCTGGTACGTTTCCAGCAGCCTGTCCATTAGAAATAATTGAACGGTGTGACACAATGGAGCATCAGGGCAAGCTCGGTTCAATGCGTGGACGATAAACTCGTGAACCATGATAATTATGTCGCTTATATATCCCTTGGCGAGCGCCACCCATTTTGTTGACTGGCTTTTCATCATCGTCGACAGAAGGGTACCGTTGAAGGTCCCGATTTCGAACCCCCGCGAGGCCCTATACAGCTCCTCTATCCATGAGTGAATACCCCCGCGGAGAGGGAAGCTTACTGAGATAGGCTCATCGACAATACCCTCCAGGTCTCCCACAGTGTCGACCTTTCTCGTTAGGAGATCTCCGTCAGAAGACGTCTGGTCATCTTCCGAGGCGCCTAATCCGAAATGATGCTGATGTCCCCATTGTGCAACGTCATTAGAAAAGATGTCATTTCTGTTCACCACCCTTGTAGCCAACCTTAAGATTGCATCATCTTCAAATGCATCATCTGCGCCGTAGTTCGAATTCAGCGCGTGCGACACGATGGTTTGGAATGATGACATGACATCGACGAGGTAACTCCGTTGCTGTTCAAGTGTTGTGCGCTCCGCCCCAAGGATGTGTAGTTTGTATTAGCAGTCTTTCAGCTTCTTCCCAATCTCCAATCTTACCTAGAGGGAGATCAGCAGGGGTCCACACAATACAAGAGACAGCGGGGAAGGCGAGGCTACCAATGGAAATGCGTTGCGTGCATTTGTCGTCACAGTCTCCTGCAGACGAGCCCGCAATGTTCGAATGCCTAGTTTGTCCGATCCCACTGTACACCATGGATGCTGCCTCAGGGTGTCTCCCTCTAAGACACTCCGGGATTTGTCCTTTTCCTGGAGATCACGTTGGCCTAGATTTCGCACAAGGATCTATCCCAATTTCATCGGCATAGTTCTACCCTCCAAAATATCAATGACCTTAGACTCGGCGCCTTTCTCGACTAGATCCGGTTTGGTGATGACTCCAATCGTTCTCTCGCCATGGGGATCCTGCTCGCGAGCCATTTCAATAATTTCCTGCGTAGCGATATCAACATTTGCAGGCACAACAGTGAGCATGATAGAGCGAGGGTTTTTCATGTAAGATTCCACCATCTCCCGGACCATTTCCTTGTCCTCTTTTGTTGTTAGCCCCGGTGTCATGTTTCGAAAAATACCCGGAACATCGATAACACTTAGGTGATCTTCATCGGGACCGGAGATCTGCAATCTCAAGACGCTGTCCGAGAACGTCGGTAGACCATCACCTTCGGTTGTAGACAGCCCCAGTAGGGCATGGACCTTATATTTAGCACCGCGGGTGAGTTTATGGTTGGCTCATGTGAAGACAAATCAGCTTACATCCGCCATTAACTCAGAAAGGGAATTTGGTGTAAGATCATGTATATCTTCCGCTATCCATTCTCTCAATTGTGCTGCTCGTTCCTCAGGCTCATTCAGTCCTAGAATGATAGATGCTGTAATCCTCCTTTCGCCATCATTGGTCCTGCGGAAGATGATCTGCGTTGCGTGCCTCGTACAAAGGCCACTGTCCCGTGGAAATGTAAACAATGTAAGCCCCTCTAGTACGGAGCTCTTCCCGCTGGATTGATCTCCAATAACAACGAGCTGAGGAAGGTCGATGTACTCTCCGACATTGCAGGCAAAGAGCTTGTCGATCTTGTCTAACAATGAAGAATCTGCAAGAGCTTCGCTTGTCTTCCTGGCGTGCTTGGTCATGATGTAACCGGTTGTTGCATCCCGGGATGTGCGGACAGATTCATGGACGTTCAGAATAATATATTATGATAAAAATCCAGAATTCTGGCCATCACTCCGAGTAGTAAGTACATCGAGTCTGGGAATGGTATTTGTCGCACTGCATTCTTGATACCATTCAGCAAAATGCACCTGCCAACAAAATGCTGTACGGTGTATTCACCCGCACGCGAATGGCAACACGACTCTCCTTGCATGGGCCGCCGTGCTGAAGCTAACAAGATGGCATGTATGAATGTGGATGAAACGGTAACATTTTGTGGAATTTGGTGTAGTGACCCGGGTTAAGCCGCGTACCGTTCATGGCATAACTATGCCATATTATGCATTCCATACGGGGAAAACCACTATGGGGGGCTGTGGCAAAGAATGTCCAGAATTACTATAACCAACAACTCTCTTGTGGTGCGGTTTACTCGTCGCCAAGAACACTTACAAGCCCCGAGCCAATCATGTCCAATATATCGAAAGTGAAATAGAGTAGTCTTACTGGTTCCGCCTATGCTCCGAAACAGACTTAACACTTCAACCCTCTACAACGCGCATTAGCCATATGGTAGCCCATCCAGGTATGTCATTTGCAGGGGCAGTTTTTGGTGCCCTCGCCCCGTCATTGATGCTTCTCAGCCTGTGGAACCCTTAGTTGGGTTGCTATTAGGTGATTCACTCTGTTATCCTGGTGATCATGGATCTGACATGCCCCTTTCTGCCGAGTGCCGCCCAGAGCCATACCCTAGGATGGTAGTGATTATGCACCTGCTCTGTCATATGCAACTCAGGTTGTAGTATTATGCATCGATGCTACAGTCATTGTTCGAAGAAATTTGGCCATGGGGATGATCATTTGTCTTGTGACCAGGCATGGTATTACGGCCCTGGGATATACTACGGGACTACCATGTTGGTGAGTAAGCTTTCTCACACCATTTATTTTGATATTAGCATAGTCTGCGAGGCAGGTGCATCGTTGGATCGCTGGAAATGCTAATGCGCCCATTAGATGTCCGGTTACAATATATTTGTTCTTCCGGTCTCTGTTGTGATCGCAAATGGGACGTGAAACGGACGGTTATTACATTTGATACGGAACTTTATCTCTCCTAATCGCAGCGTTTCTGTAGCCGCCCGGCTTATTCACAGGGAGCCTCGTGCTTGACCCGCTGGTGATGATTAAATCTACTCCGTACGATCCAGCGGATTATTCCCAGACTGAACAACAACTCCCCAGACATATGGCAGAACTTCCAACAATTTATCTGTTTAATTATCTTATCTGTTAGTTTCAATCCCCTCTTCTAGGCCAAACAAATCAATATTGCAGATGCCCTCTCCGTGGCTTCCAGCTTGATCGCGCTTGCAACTCTTACCTTTGAATAGAGCAAATCGCTCTATACTCTAGTCAAGGACTTTAAAAACACGCAACAAACAATTCGTGAGCTATGGTATAAACTGGAATCTTTAACACAGGTCCTCGGCACCTTAATCTTGGCAGTAATGGACAATGAAGCCGAGCTGGCCAGCTTGAAATTGCCTCTTCTGCGATGTGGGAAGATATGCAGCGAGTTCAGGAATATTATACAAAAATATATGGCTCATTCTAACGGTCAACACACAAGCTTTCGTGACTGGGCTAAATTACGGTACATGGGTGGGATTATTTATGACCTGAAAACAACACTTACTGGTTATAAAGCAACTATCTCTATCGCTCTCGGGGGCGCTATATTATAAGATATATAAGTCCTACAGTGACTATGAACCATTGACTCTGAATCAATATACTCAGTCGTCAAGCCACTGTTGCCAGCGCTGTTATCGACCAGTATAAGACCATGATCGAGGAAGCAACATCTGATCTGCAAGAGCATCTACAAGATATTAAGAAAAGATTGCAATCGTTTGATCAGCACAGGGATTCTGTTCAAGAGTCTGATACTTTTAACTTATGAGACACAAGAGAGGAGAAGAACAGCACTGAGTAATGCCTGACAATATGTACACATGCTACGCAAGTCATTGTATATCTCCAGAAACAGCTTCCGCAACTCCATTTTAAAAGTAGAAATCCATCTATACAGTTTAGTTCTAGTAATGATGATATATCCGGTCAATCCCAGAACCTGACCAACGCTATGCTCACTGACTTTCGCGCAAGAGTCTTATCAAACTCGGCGGTACTCCAGGGCCGTCTGATGGAGCTGACAAACCGACTGAGACAAATGTCAGAACAGGGCGTAGTATCCAAGGATCCCACGAATCTGAATCTTATTAAAAAGGAGAGGAAAAGTATTACCCAATGTCTTATAGTAATGTCTGTTCAGAGGCCTCCGAATTGGCACACAGAGCCCACACAAATATCTTTTTAAACGTGACAGCATCAGACGAGTCACATCAGCTCGTGGTATATACCATTGGAGATCTAATTTCCGCCAAGCATATCATCACTGGCTCGAAATCAGCACAGTGGTTGGGCCAAATGTCAGACACTTCGCTACAGCAATTGTCTCGGGACTTCTGTGGACAGGTCGGGATAGGGGAAGAGCCACCCACGCAGGCAGAGAAAAATAAATTTAATACCTGGTACGGACCTGGTCAGCTGCTCGGGGAAGACTCTCCAAGGCGCCGAACATCTCCCAGCAACAAACATTAAGTACATGTGGTCAACGTGCATCCTACTTCTCCCTATAAGTCATTTCTTGCAGCTCTGCCAGACTATCATCAACCGAAGAAGATTATTTCATCCTATCCACCAGATCACAGACATCCTGATCTGCACCGCTTTTAAATATCTGAATCACCATCACCAGGGCGTTTCTGTATCCTTCTATTACCTTTTCAGCATGTTGCAGAGCTCCTTTCCTTCGTCGGTCTTTGGAGGACTCGAACACACAAGTTCGCCCAGAACGAACACAGATCTCGCAGTATGGAGGACCAGTACACTGTAATCAGTTAGTCTCATTCATATAAGTTCAGTTCACAAAAATAACCTTAATGTGTTTTCTCCGGCAATTTATGCACGCGAATGATCTGCGCTTGGATGGAGTGTGGACGAGAGAGTGGAAGTGGCCTACTTTCCCAAGGGAGACTTTAGGAAGCAGCTGTCGGTGTGGGTATTCTAATATCACTTTGTTTATAGTGAATATCCGTTGGCTTTGATGGATTGAACTGTCCGTAGATATGATCGGCTGATACTGGCGATTTTCTTCCGGTATGTGATTATTGAAAGCTGGCGGAGGACGCATGGTGTTGACGAGACAATGCTGGACTACATTACACAGTGGTGTCTACTATATATATAGCGAAGCATGTTTACTTCCAGAGAAACATTGAGGCTAAGTCTGTTCGACCCGACTCCGCCAAGATTGTCAAACAAAGAACAGCCTATCAGCCTCCCTCAACCAACATCAGTGTTACCTCGCTAAACTCGACATATCATCTTCGGCAGAAAGGAGCTGGCAAGTTAGCCGGCTTTTCTATCCATAGTAGAGTTCGGCGTTCCAGGCGCGATATCGCGAACTCGTGAAAAGATACTGTTATCCATGCCAGTAAGGATAAGCGAAGAGTGGAGAGAACAGTAAGCATCGAGTGGTACACTATATAACTCGCCGTGAAGTATAACATAGAAGCTCAAACGAGCATCGTGGTATCCATGGCCTTGAGAAATACGGGGCTGAGAGAACAACCACACGGTACTATTAATACTATTGACAACGAGGTCAGATCTATCGAATCTCACGAAAAACTTGATGGCGCGCCCGAGTAGAGGTACAGTTGCTTACGCAGGTCGTTATGGGAGTTGAACGCATCGTAAGCAATATGTAACCCAGCTCTTCAACAGCCGGAGCAGGCGTAGTTTCAAGAGCTGCAGTGGTCGGTGTCGTACAAACCTCACCCATTCCGGTGCAGGTGCTCCCAGGGGTCTGCACGTTGGCGGACCTCGCGGCATAACAGCCGGCCTGGAATGATATTAGTCCGAGACGCGTCCCCATTGGGAGATCAGGTTTTCTGCTACTGATAAATTTGTACAGATAGGAGATAGGAGAGGAGCTTTTTTTTTCTCTTAAAAACAAAGAAAAGAAAAAGAAAAGGGAACAAAACAAAAACAAACGAGAAGGAAAAGGCCAGAATTGATATAGTGAGCTAGTTGCAAAAATTTATTATTCCCGTCTTCACACACTGTTATCTTCCAAGCGTCGAAACATCGACATCACTTTTCTCTGCAGAATCGTACAAGTGTGACAGCACCGGGTTGTACCAGGCTGAACTGCACTTGCTGCGAGCAGCGAAAGGCAAAGGATATAGCTACGGCTATTTTCTAGTCGAAGTCATGGTGGTGTGCCGGGGCGAAGTCCAGGGGTGGGTTTCCCCGGTCAACTCACGATCGAACAAAGTGAAGAGACTCGCCATGATTCAACCATCCCTCCAGCGCCGGCGGATATTCTCGTCGTCAAGAGTTGGTGGCCTTGCCGCGCGTTGTACCACTTTTGGTGCCGCTGCCAAATAAGGACCGGTGAATTTGGTCCACTGTCTCCTCAATATCCTGATTCCACTGCTTCTGCTCCCTCATGCTGGACTCCAAAGCGCTGATTTGCGTCAGTCCAGTTGAGAGAACGGCTACGTTACACTTACTCCACCCGTTCAGATAGTCTAGATATGTGTCAGTTTGTCATGCGCTGCTCTTCAAAGAAGAGTATAATTCGTGAAACTGTACTCATTTAGAAGAGGGAAGACCTGCCCTTGGCCATAGTCCCCCTCGCTACCGTCCGCCATCCGGCTGGAGCTTGCACTTGATTGATCTACGGCCGCTGGATCACCATCGTCACGCCGTGCGATTTCATGTTCCTCCGCCCCAACGGCGTAGCTAACGGCACCGATCTGGACAGGGTCTTGCACACACTGTATGCCAGACGTCTCAGCATGCGAGGTCTCAAGTCCTAACACCGTCCGCAGAGCCTGTAGCCGCTTATACTGGGGCGGGCCAGTTGCATTCATGTCGGACTAACGATTGGCCTGGGGAGACGCAAGTTGAATAAGGACGGTTCGATCCCAGGGCATGGAACAACTGAAGACAACACGGTGACGCGACAAGCATGCGATAGACGAAATGTGGGTTTATATATCGAAGCAGAGTTGGCCACTAACTCCCTGGGTGGCCCTCTCGGGCTGGGTGTTGTTCGGACCGGAAAGTTCGAATCATCACGGAGCGGCGCAACGTCGAGTCGAGGCAAATTTGGGCCGACGAGTGTAGATGGTGGGTAGTTAACGTTTCGGACAAGGTGGGCAACTTGTTCGTTTCACCGTGTGGAAACCACAATTGGTTAAAAGTCCTGATTTCTCTTGGTGGTCTGCCCGTGGTTTTTGAATCGGCTGAACCCCCGGCGCCGCTGTTCTCAGGGGAATGCGACTGACTGTTAATACATGGCATAGGTCTAGACAGTTTGGATCCGTCAAGACTCCGAGGGATATGGAAGATAGCAGTATATCATTCGCAAACAGCGCTCGGCTGGAATCTGATATTATCTGTTTGGGGCAATTCAATGTAGCGTTTGACATAAATCCTAAAACGGCAGTGATAAACGATAAACCGCGGGCAAACTCATGCAGTGTAATGGCGCGCGCGAGAAAGGATTAAACGGCTGTCTGAGCTCTGCTCGTTCACTCGCCATCCCGCCCTTACTTTACGCATTGCCGCCATTGTTTCTTTATGACAGTCGTCGCATCATCGGTCGACATAATCTACGGCCAACCGATCCAGGAGGCAATTCTATTTTTCAGGCATTGCCAAGCCGCTTCCAGCAAGCGTCAAAGTGCATTACTTGACCCGATTGGCACCGTCATTATTGATCGGTATACGTGTGCGCATTCGCCCAGATAGGATATCAATTACTACGGTAGAGAAACTAGAATTGAAGAAGCTGCGTAAAGTCACCGGAGCCGGGTGCAATACCATGATCGTTGTCAAATAAACCCCCTCCGTCCCCTTGAGTTGTCCATATATCTGGCATCGTCGTCATTGCCGGCAGAGTAGCCGTCATGGCGGCAGGATCCTCCTCTTCTGGTAAATCAGCCGGGCTGCGAAGCCGCTGGTGCCACCCTGCAACGGTACATATGCTGGATTTCGTGCATCAGCTGTTGAGTCGCGCGCCGCTCAGATAGCTGTTGTCTCCACCGATACTGTTCGTTCAACAATTCCTGGTTCTTAACTTCCGACGCTTCCAAGGCGCTCCGACAGGGTCTCTTTGTCTCTCTTCAACGCTTCAATCTCCTGCTCCAGTGCTTCGACCGTAGCCAAACATGCCTCGTGATTCCCTGGCGATGGGGCAGAAGGAGGGTCTCGAGAACCAGAGCCAGATACCTGTGGCAGCTGGTGGGTGCGTGGAGTCAGCGGAACGATCCGGGCCCAGTAACCGTACGTGAAGGCTTACCGTAGATGGGCGTCGATGGGATCACAGAGGCTGCTGGGAAGAACGCATTACGGGCTCCGGTCTTTGGATAGATCGTGGGTCGGAAGCGGTACTGCGACTGTCGGTCTGCCGGGTGCTTGCGCGGATGCCCGCCCGCGGTTCTGACTTTGGCATTCCCGATGACAACCAACCTCGTAGAAGAACCACTGCGTATGTACCGTGCTGAAGGGAGAATTAGCCGGAGAAATTTGAATACCTGGCCTGGCAAGAGGGAGTGGAGCGCCGTTGGCTATGGCAGGCGGGTTATAAGCAACAAGATTAGCCAAAGCAGGTCAGGGATAACCGCCCATTGGTTATTTTGGCCACATGACCCAGTCTTACTATGGTTGACCAAGCGAGACACAGTAATAGTTGAGGTTTGCAACAACCTGCTTTGCTGCGGATCCAAGCGCCGTGGAGTATTTGCTCGCCCAGAACGGTCAAATGTCTAAGTTAACCTTATTCGCTCTGATCTATACCAGAGTTCGTTTAGTCTGTGGTCTCCGAAACTGACCCACCTGGCCCGTGGTTAAAGGTCCCCTTCCCTCATTGACACCATCGCACAAGGTAGTATTGACCTGTGGAACTCGGACAACCCCTGGGCAACGAGGCATGTTGACCGGTGGGCGACGTGGACAAGTCATGGGGTGTTGCTGGATCAATGAGACGGCATTCACTGGGGAAAGAAACCCAGGGCAACGATCCTCCTCATTTAAGTGTTTCCTGGTCTTCCAGGCGTCGCTGGAAGAAGGCACGTTGCCAAGACAGTGGAGACATGCGAAGATCATACCGCTCAAAAAGCTGAAAAAAGAGAACTATACTATTGCCAAAGCATGCAGACTGATTTCGCTCCTCGCGACGCTGGGCAAGATACTGGAATCTGTGATCGTAGAAAGGATCTCACACGCGGTAGAGACTTATAGTTTACTTCTGACCAGCCACTTCGGCGCCCGAAAGCAGTGGTCCGCTAAGCAAGCACTCGTACTCCTGCAGAAGCAAATCTACACGGCATAGCACGGCCGACGCGTCGTGAGCTTGATCAGCTTCGATGTCAAGGGCGCCTACAATAAAATCTACAAAGAACGATTATTTCAGAGGATGAAAGCGCGAGGCATACCAGAGAATCTACTCCGGTGGATTGAGGCGTTCTGCTCGGAACAAACAGCAACTATCCAAATTAATAGGCAACTATCTAAGATCCACAGCCTGCTACAGATTAGACTACCGCAGGGCTCACCGCTGTTTCTAATTCTATTCCTCTTCTTCAACGCAGATCTTGTACAGCGTCAAATCGACGGCAAGGAAGATGCGATTGTGTTTATAAATGATTTTACCACGTGGGTGACCGGACCAAGTTCGCAGACTAATTAGAAAAATATTAAGGGAATTATCAAAGAAGCTCTTAATTAGGAAAGACAAAGTAGGACAACTTTCAAAGTAAATAAAACAGTTATTATATACTTCACTTTCAAGACTTATAAATCGGACCGGAGGCCCTTCACTGTCAAGAAATAAATAGTAGAATTGAAAGATTATGTTAAGATTCTAGATGTCCTCATAAATACTAGTCTTAAATATAAGAAATACATCGCAAGGGCAGTATCTAAGGGTTTTAAAATAGTGATAAAGTTTCGATGACTTCGAGATCTGTTCCCATCAACAGCACGGCAGCTATTCATATTGACAGTGACTCCCGTAGTGGACTACGCTTCTAATATTTGGATGCATGCATTTAAAAATAAGACTACGGGGCCGATCAACTGAGTCCAAAGGGTGGAAGTGCAAGTAATCGTCGGGATCTTTCTTACTATTACAACTAGTATCACGGAGGCAGAGGCTCATATTGCCACGGCGCAATACTATTTTTGGAGACGAGTTTGAAGATGTGAACTAATCTTTATATATTTTTAAATACTAATCCGCTCCGCCGAACTACAGCTCGGATCAGGAAATTCAGACGGTTTCACCGTTCGCCGTTGTACCAGGTGGCAGACGCGCTGAAGAATATTAATATAGAAATACTGGAGACTATTAACCCGTTTATATTAGTATTATAGGAGACATGTATGCAGACTGATAATAAAACAATACCGGACCCGCAGTCTACACCAGGTGGATCTATACAGATCGCGATCAGCAGCTCGGCATGGAATGGGATGGTAGAATTTAGGATAGCAATCAAAAAACAGCTATTTTAATATTAAAAACTGAAATTGAAGATCTTTTTCATGATACTGGGCGTAAGATTAGAGTAAAATCCATTCTCCGCAGAGCTAGCAGCTATAGCTCATATATTAAACGGACTGGTGGGATTGAAAGGATTCAGACCTAGATTACTTACTAGTAACAAAGCAGCGGCCCTCACGATACAAAATCCTCGACAATAGTCAGGCCAGGAGTTCGTCTACCAGACGTACAAGCTGATAAACAGATTGCGGAGAAAAGGAAACCATATTAAGATTCTTTAGATCTCTACTAGTAAAAATAATAAATTATTAGACCTAGCTAAGAAGCAGGCTAGGACCGCGACCCATGAGAACGCTATCCCACAAGCACAGATTTCCAGAATAAAATCAATAATGTTGAATCTTGCATGATCTTATACAGTCACCACGAAAGCCTTGCCAGAGGACGTAGGGAGATACGTCAAATGAGTGGATACCACACTCCCAGAGAAAGCACACCCGATAATTGTATGATAGATTGTCGTGGAAAAAAGCGACTATGCTGGCTTAATTCTGGACCAGCATGGCAAGACTAAATGGATATCTCTACCAGATCAATGTCACGCAGACAGACTAATATGCATGCAGACAAGTAAGAGAAACCATGGAGTATTTTCTCTGCTAATATTAGAAGTGGACCACGCAATGAATTGTATTATTATAATATACTTGAATTTACTGGGGCAATTTCTTCCTCTATCTGAGCGGGAAATCGCCTTCCGATGATCAGCAATGGACGCTGAACTTGGAGGTAGTACGAGTCTTAATATAATTTATAATCGCCACGGGCCGACTCGACGCCGCCTAACCATGTTGACTAATACAATGATATCCTTTTTCTAAGTTACCTACACCAGCCACCTTGTACCACAGATGGTAAACGCGCTTCAACTACTGAGAATAGGATGTTAAATACTTGAACAAGCACCTTCAAGCCAGTCTATTAATAAATTTACTAACCTATAAGAATCCTATGATAATAACAACTGAGAGGACATATACTGAAAGGATCTATATATGGGCTCGAAGAAGATACAGCAGATGTACATTAGAATTCGTATTAATAGTTTAGTGATAGTTGCCCTTTCGGCTGAGCCGCCGGGCGTTAATGAATTATGTGTGTGTTGCTCCATGGTACACACAACCACTCAAGCGAAAGTGGTGGCAAATGGGCATCTCTCGAGCAGCAAGTGCTATTTAGCAAATGTGGAGAATGGAGTCGTCAAAACGGCAGTGAAGATGTGGAACAGACCTGGCATTGTAGATGTTGATGAGATGGCCCTTACCTAGTCCGAGAAGGGCACGGCTCGGGCGAACAAACCATCCGATCTTACATTGCAATACACTTGGATTTTCAGGATACTTTGCTGGTACACTGCCGATATTTATCGTAAGTAGAACCCCATCAACACTGCCGTTACGATAAAGTTTTAGATATGACCCTGACGAAGGCCCAAAAAAATCTCGTCCGATATTAGAAGACCGCTCATTTCGCATATAACGATAATTCTCATATAATCTGACCTCCACTGGCGCGCAAACCGGATATTGGTAGCAGATTATTGTAGGACCTCACACTTTAGAAGGCCTTCTGGTAGGCTTGAAGCAGAGTACTTAGACGAATCCATGATGTCGAGTGCTGATGATCTGGTTCTACTGCCTTTCCTTCTTTTGTCCACGGTATCTATACGCCCCCCTTGGTGCTACTACGTCCCTCACACTTCCAACATGAGGTATATCTGTTCTAAACCTTAGGAATATCCCATCAAACGATGAAAATCAGCCTCAAAATTTCCATTCTTATCACAAACAGTCAAGAATGAATGGATAGGACGATGTCGCCGTCGTGCTGGGAGTGGTTTATGGCCATAGTTCTTTCGAAGTGACAATCAAATTCATGGTCAAACATTGTCCGATCACCCATAGCCCACAACAACTGAACATTGGCAGCTTTACCTCTATATGTAGTTTGCTTCACGGACATCTCAAATTATCGTTCGGAGCGGAGGGTCATGTTTTAACGCAAGTTGCGTCTCTAGGAGGTTTGCCAATATTCTGTTCTTCACATTCTGGATGACGGCGTCCAGATCAATCGGATCCTGATGCCCTGCATGTTGCATATTCTGATGAACCTGGTCGACTTCGTTCATTCGAAGCAGAGCAGATTGTCCTAATATGCCGGAATCATCCTGGATGGCCTCACATAGGCTTCTGGATATCTTCCCTAACATCAGATGTGCCACTGCTGATTCCAGAGAGTGAAGCAACGCCACCATTGCCGGTCGTGCGTAGAAAGCGTGTGTGGCAAGGGTATTGATACCGTTGTTAGTTATACTAACATTCTTGCTGCAATCATGTCAGCTGAGCGTGACGAGATGACATGACAGAACCTACATGGCGGACATCAATTCCTCGCTACATGTCAGTGCGAAGCCCAGACCTACTATGCTAGCAATGACCCACAACCATCTACCTTGTCTGAGGTAATTGTGTATTAAGTCACGTTCGCTCTTGGAGGGATCCCCCAGAACACATGCATGAGCAATGCAATTCATCACATATGCCTTCTTTTGCTCTGCTGCTCGTCGGGGTCGTGGGCAGTAGCACTCTGGGAATTGGCACATTTCTTCATAGTTTAGGACCAGCAGCATCCGCGCGGCTCGCTGGCCCACTGCGTCAGGAACCATGTTATTTTTGAGCATAATAGCGTAAGTAGCCGCGGCCTCAACACCGATCCACTCTAATGGCAGTCCCAACGCATGGAGGCCTTGGGAAACGTTTGCATGCCAGGAATCCAACAGTGGCTCCAAAACAGTGCGTGGTGCAGGGTCAATCAGACGTGCACTGAGCCTCAGAACCTGCTCAAAATCGGCTCTTCTGAGCCATTGACCGTTCTCCGGAGCCATGAAAGCCTTTCGCGAAAGGCCGACAATGCGATCTGGGATCAGATGTAACGGTGTACCATGGTTGATCGGCCCCTCGGAGCCCTCACCCGGCGTTTGGGCTACTGAAGGGGTGGCTAGCGACTTGGGTGTCCTTATTCTTGTCCCTCCTCTTCTTCTTCTTTTGTCTGGTACAGTCGTCCAGGCCTTCCGCATGTCAATGCGAGGCTCGATTCTATCTGGCTGGGTTCTGCTTCGTGGAAGGGCATCTCCATAGGATGTCAGCTGGTCTCCTGTGATTCTGATGTTCTCGTATGTAGTGGCAGGAATGTTGTTCTCTATATAAAGACCCGTTAGCAGGTCGTTATGAGAAGCATAGCAATGGAAGGATGCATAGTAAGGAGGCTCAGGGAGTTAGGTCCCCACCTTCGCCTGTGGGGTGGCTGCACGCAATCACTTCACCGCCTCTGTTTACGGCCCATGATTGAATAGCATTGACCCTGCGAGCCCTCTGAAGTACATCGGCGAGCTGGGCAGGGCCCAGGATTCGTGCTTTTGTCAGGATCTCAATCAGACTCCCGGCAAACTAAAACCACTTAGCATTGATTCTCAACATGAAGATCAAGCTCACCTTTGCCAGGCTGTCTCCTGGTAAGCTCTCACATCCCACATCGCCATACCTAGGGGAGGTCTTGTTGTATAAATACGGGGCGACTCAACGAGACTTCAAGACACACCTGAAAGCTGACGATGACATCCGGCATATTTTGTAGACCCAGCGTATGTCAATGTGATAGAAAAGTGATCGTCCTATGAGATAATTTCTGTTTAGGTTGCCACAAAGCCGGCACTGCAGAACAGGCTGTAATACTAGCGACCCATGAAAACCGCGCCGTGGAGAGTTCAATGATGTCTTAAAAGAGCGTTAGCGAAGCCCAGGTCCGTCTCTAAAGTAGGGCTGGATGGTCACGAAAATCGTCTGCATACTAGATGAAGAGTGCCAGTCTGAAGGTGAGAGGTAAGAATGGTGAGCTTTGCAATCGTGACGGTGGGCAAGAGTGTAGCAGCAATGTCAAGACCAGTGTTCGGGTTTCCCAGCTTCGCTTATAATGAAATCCTACTGGAGCAGTGCCCCATCTGTTGATAAGAAACCAAGGTTCCCATGTAGAAAACCAGCGGCAGGAGGTATGTGGCAAGATGAATAAAGTCTACCGGAAATTATAAGTTGGTAAAAGATTAGTCTAGTGCGGTATATTGGCCACGATTGTGGCTGCTACGTGGAGCCCGTATGGGTGAATGAGAGCTGACGCATGGGGAAAGTAAAACACCATATATTGACCGTCAGAGACGGGAGGTGAAACCAAACCTCTGCTTGAATTTCAGGGTTCAAGTAACCGGCGTTAGTAGCCAGTAGTGAAAGTTGACAGTTTTTGACCAATGTGGATAAACCGTTCGTATTGCAGTGCACGACAAATTCCGGCCACAGGGTTACATCGATACCGCCGATCATAACCCCGGAGTATTTGGACGAGAAGCAAGAGTATGTACGTGCGAATCGAAAACATTACAAAACAATAACTTGAAAGAGCGAACAGCTTGTTGCTCATGGGGATCTTGACACTACTGTGGTGAAGTGTCGGGTTACTCTGAAGCGTTCTCGTACCTTACGTATGCTGATCTCGTACGTCAAGATCTACAGGATATGAAACCTCTTTTGCCCGTGGTCAAATAATTTACAGACTCCATTGCCGCCTAAAGCTAGTTAACTCCATTTCTTTGCTTCTGTGCTTCCGTGCGAAATTGCGGTTTTCAGTATTTCACCCGGATCATATACCACAGCAGGATTTAGATGGGTTGGAAATACAACGGTCGAAATCCCCGCTGACCCTCTACATGCACCCATATCTCATGCGGGATATCCAGGGCATGCACGGTCATCAAATAAGAGAGATGAAGGGTATCTACCGTGCCAGGGAAATCAAGGCCCTCTGTTGAAATGAGCCAACAGTCAGAGTTCCTTGAGCTCCGGACCCATCAGACGTAACAAGAGACCAGATATAATCCGGTCACTAATCCCACTGTATGTTCAACAATCTTTACTCCCACTTCTATCATTTTCTAAATGAAGACTTCATGTCTCGGATCGCTCCCTTCAAGAAACGGCGTCGATCGGAAAGCTCTAAAGCCAAAACCCAGCAGAGAAGTAAACTGAAGAAGACGTTGATCAGAAAAGCCGCCCAGTACAGTATTGAATGTGACTCCGATGTATTCGTTATGATACGAGTCAAGGGAAGCGGCCGAAGGTATATCTTCAATTCTTCTCCATCGGAGAATTGGCTTCCGTCCATGCCAGAGCTGGTAAGTCGCGGGCTTTGCGACACAATTACCGAATTTAACGAGTATAGAGTGGATACTATCCAACGCCGATGATTAAGACTCTGGAAGATGTTGTTCCCCAATACAAGCATTGCCCTGAACCAGATCAGGAAGAAGTCGGGACACGTGTAATTCCATCGGTGAAGAAGGCTGTGTAGGGCTTACCGTCTTGTCAGAACTGCGGCCTGGAAAATCTCTCGAAACTTATATGCGTGTACGTTGGCTGCTCAAATAAATACGCGGATATCCAATTTAGATACACTGAGTATGATTGGGGGGCCCCGAAAGCGGGCCGATTCTGCTTATTCAGTTCCCATGAATGTAGTGAAAGCCAGTGTGATAATTGATGATCTGATGTTGAGGCTATACGTAGGGAGGGGAGTGGGGAATTTTTGGCTTACAGTGCATATAATGCTATACAACTCGTCGTTTGACGTTCCCTCCGCTGGCACATTCGGTAACCTGGTCATACCATATCTCTGTCGGCCTTGGGAAAACACATCGGGATCAACGCATGCCTACCGGACGGCTTCTTATGTAGTCACAACGCAGCGTTTTGACTGTTATTGCCTTCCATGTTGGAGATAGAAATATTATTCTTCTAGACCTTAATCACGTGGTATTGTAAACTTCATAAGAAGTTAAGAAAACTTGGATAATTACCTGTTCTGTATATATAAGGTAATAGTACCGTACCTTAAAAAATGGCAGCTAAGGCAGGTCTGCGCAGGAAGCAGTTCAACCTTATCCACGAGATTTTCGAAGAGAGAAATGTTCGTCTTCCACGCGATCAGTGTAGAGGTGAAGCTGTTGCTTGGATGCCTACATAAAAAAAAAAAATCGGAGTATATACTGTTGAAGCAGTAATACTAGTACGCATGGTCACGTGACTGGCTAGCACTACCAGGAACCCCTTCTTCGCGCCTCTCGCTACGCGACCCCTAGATAGGAATAAGAACACTCATGTCTCTCTATATTCTTGCTTCCTGCTAGTAGAGCCATTTCAAAATATACTATAGTGCCGCTACGCACGACGGCGGTGAAGTCAAGATATTATACGATTGGAGCTCGCGCCGGATAGGCCGTTAGTGTAGGACGACTTCTCCAATAGTGGAGAACCAGCGCAAGGCGGCAGAGGCCAGTCACAAAAAGTCCGAGTGGTCTGACTATGAAGACTGGTAAAAGTATTTGAGGTATACAGATCCGTTATATTTTTCTCGATTATTTTGTCAGATCTACAATGGAACAGGTAATGAAATATTGAGATAACCCTATCAGGATTAGCGTGTTATGTGGTAGGCGACGCATCTTATAAAGGGGGTATAACTTAAAGCCTGGTCGAATGGACATTTTCGGAACCGTTCTAGATTTACTCCATGCTCAGATACCTTCGGAGCTTTTAAGCTCTTGCTGGGGAGCAACAGGATATCGTTGGCGCGTGTATAGACATCATGGCAATATTGAGTCTTTCAAAGATTCCGCTGCCTCCACGTGATCCAAGATCAATCTTGTCGATCGTATAGACGGCTAACTCCGTTTCACTAACATAATGCTGCCCTAAGGGCCGCCGTTAGTTCCAAATCATATCAAAAGTATAGCAACGGCTCTACTGTCAAGGAGAGTGGAGTGATTATTTGGACCCTAGAGGTGTATGAGTTCTATTCACATACTGCACCGCAACAAAGCAAGAATATCAAAGATTTGCCAGGGCATCTCTAGATAGATTCGAGGAATTCCAGCTCACAGAAAGCCCAGGTAATGCCATCGCTCATCAGTAGCATCTCCCTGGCACGCCTCCGTCGGGTGGAGCTTTCGATGTACAGCAATGCAGCCCTCATTCAGGTGGAAATATGCCCAAAATAAGTGGCCGTACTTCCATCTTCGCTTTACGCCCTATGCGCTTCCGTATAGTCTGCTTCTGAATCATCGGAAAAGTGGGACATCTCCGGATATTGCATGGGGGGTGAACGCAGCTTTGTATGATAGCTTCTGCTTGCGGCTGATGCATGGCCGATCCAAATCACGCCCGTACGTCGTCTGCAGATCTATCGGTAAATAGGCCGGTGCAAGGCAAAGATTAATAGGAATATTGTAGTGCCTCCAACAGCCGCGTTGACCGACATGCCTAAACTCCGGCGCGGTATAGTCTATGCGCGGCGAAGACCATCAATCACTAAAATACTATGAATAAATGTTATTATTACGGTATCCGTAGATTTTGGCGTCCTACTTGGGCCGTTTGATATATCTAAGGTTATCAACGCCGTCTGATAGTCTATAAATCCTGTCTCACTCCACGTGGTTACCGACGCCATCGAACTGGAATTAAACATTGTACTAGGCTGCGGATTATCAGAGTCTGTGAGTCTGTTAATATCCCTATTATAAGATAGAATACTAATTATATATCAAGGCAGAGAATCTTCAGATAAACCATCTAAATAATTAGAATTAATAAGATTAATATAATTATCTTTCATCTTGTTTATTTCCATTGATTATTCGCTGTTGTGATATAGCAGCACTCTGGCTGATGATAAGAATATGTCCAACGGCTTTGTATAGATTAGTATAATAAAAAGAGATTTTAGATAACTGATTAGTATTATTTTCTATATTTCAGATACTGTTGCATCTGCAGGTGTCTGATATTAAAATAATAGTATATATATATACTATGTACTGGTAGACTATGGAGGGTTATCTTCTTTAAAAAAATTAAGTTATATAATTACTATTTCCGTGGTATCTTGATCAGTGCCAATACTTATTCTTGGATTACTATCCAATATATTATAATAGAAGACCGCCCATGTTGATTTCTTAGATATAAAAATAACATTTTCAAAGAAGTCTAGAATAGATATCTTTAAATTAAATATAAGCTTCCCGCTTGTTGATGGTGATAAGAAATCCATATTTAAGTTTGCTATTAAAATTATTAAATCTATGATATTTATTTTAGTATTTGGAATCAGGTTACTTTTACTCGTCAGATAGACTAAAACGAATTATGAAGTAGTAGAATCTTATCTTATCTTAAAATTTATAGTAGTTAGAACCGGTTCCAGCACTTTCAACAGGACACTGAATATAGTATTATTATAATCATATTTACTAGTAGAGAGACGACTAGGCCGTAAGC